ACTCGCGCTGAACCCCGCTCCCTGGCGCGCGGAGCGCGCCGGGGGCGGCGCCGGAGGCGCCGCCGGGGGGGCCAGGCGCGGATCCAAGAAATCCGCGCGGAGCACCAACAGTTTATGTTCATGTGGTTTTTTCTTCTTCGACCTAGGTAACCCCCAGGAGGTTTCCAAGAGGCCTCCCAGAGGCCCCCACAAAAACCCTCTCGAAAGAGACCTCCAGAGAGGCCTCCTGTCCACGATCTCCGGGCCCAGTGGCAGGTTGGGTCGGAGGCCACCGACTATTTTGAGGTCGGGCGTGTCCCCCAGGCGGAGTTTGGGCGAAAAATTAAACATGCGCCACACATATTCAAAGCATGGAAAAATACTCAAACAATAATCGCCCGACTTTTTTTGTTTTTTGAATATTCCTCCTGTAGAGGGACGTGCCCGGCTTAAGATTACTTCAAAACAGCACGTGCACGTCAGGTTCGCGCCGTGCCGACTTCGGCGTTAGCTTCTGACACCGCGGGGACTGTTCAACCTTGAACGATCGGCCGTGTCCGAAACGTCCAAACCGTTCCGCATCGAACGATTCTGGGTCGCCCGCGGCGTTTTTAAGCTGAACGCCGCTGGCAGGGTCGCCGCCGGCCGACACGCCACGAACCTACCGCACCACGTCGGTCTGCGCACCGGGCGCCGCAGAACAAGCTTCGGGAGGTGACGCGTGCGCCGCGCGCCGTGGTGCCGCGGGCTCCTGCGGCTGCTGGGTCAGGCTCTCGAACCTCCTCGTATGTTGAAGGGGCCCCAGGACACACACACATGAGCACACACACAAATAAGCATGTACCCCATATGTTCCTATACTTTTGGGGTGTTTGCCTTCCCCCCCACCTCCCATAGTTTTCCATATCTTCCTGAGAATCGGCGATTCATTGTGTCTGTGTGTTTTTTCCCCTCCTGATATGTGCCCACGCGCCACGCCCTTAGTGAAAACGGCCTGGGACCGAAACCGACGGACCTGGACCCGCAAACATAACGGCCGTGACACCCTCTCGCGAACCGAAAACGGCCAATTCACTCATCGACGCGTCAGGGTAGGAGGTCTTCAGGAGGGAAAGAAACACACAGACACAATTAATCGTCGATTCCCCGGGAAGTATGGGAAAATATGGGAAGTGTGGGGGAAGGCAAAAACTCAGAAAATATGGGAGCATATGGGGAATCTTTTTATTTGGGTGTATTTATTTGTGTGTCCTGGAGCCCCTTAAGGTCTGTCCACCTCCGATCGTCTGTGCCCACGCGCCACGCACCCGCAAACCGCGCCTGCGAGCTCCCGCCTTCACGTTCCGACCGCCACGGCCGCCCGCACCCAGGCCCGCCCGACCCACCACCATGGGCGCACCTGGGACTGAAGGGGCCCTGGGACACACCAAGAGATACACACAAGTAAACAGATTCCGCATCTTTTCCCATATCTTCTGGGTCTTTTGGTCTTCCCCCACGCTCCCCATATATCTTCCCCTATTTTCGGGGGGATCGACGCTTCATTGTGTCTCTGTGTGCGCCCCCCCCCCCCCCCCCCCCCTTAACCAGGACCCGCGCACACCCTGTGGGGCCGTTGGCCGCCTCGCGAGCCTGGCCTCCCCCGGCGCGGCGGCGGGAGCGCGCGGCCACGCGGCTGGCCCTCCGAGACCGCCCGCCGAGGCGGCCGCGCGCCCCTCCTCGAGCGGCGGCGGTGCGCCGCGAGCCGATCCCCGAGATCCGATGCCGTGGAGGAGGGCCGACGCCGCGAGCACAGCGCGACCGCTGCACTCGACCCCCCCCCCCTCTCGGCGGCACCCCTCGAGCCGGACCCGCCTCCGCGAAAGCCCCGCGGGCCCGAGGCGTGCGCCCGCCGGGAGCTGCCCACGACGACCGGGCCGCCGGGCCCCTGCCGCCCAGGCTGCGCCGCCAGTGCCGCGCAGGGCTCCAGGGTCGGAGCCCAGGGATCCGACGCCGTGGTCTCTTCCATGCGGGGCCCCCGGAAGTCTCGACCCACTCCCCAGGACCGGCTCTTCCTCCGGCGTCGGTTCTTGGCAGTCCCGGGGCCCGGCGAGGGCCGCCAGAGGCCGAACATCGAGGAAGACCTCCGTCCTGATCGTTGTCAAGATGTCGGAGGTCTGGGATCGAGCAGGGACCGACCGTCCCGGCATTCCTGTAGTCATACCACGACATGTTCTCGGAACCCAAACATGTTCCAATAACAAAAAACAAGGTTCTTAGAACACCAACCCGATGTGTGAAACCAAGACAGTCCCAACCAGAAACGCTCTAAGAACATCTCGTGGCAACCACAGAAAAAGGTTCTCAGAACATTGTTTGGTGGGGCTATATATGCGAGCCAGGACGCTTCGCCACTGCTTCATCTGGGAGGCGCCCGCCGGGTCTGTGCGCGGGGCCCGGCGGGGTCCCTCTCTGGGCTGGCCTCGGCCCCCAGGCCCGGCCCTCGCCCGGGCCCTGAGGGCCTCAAAGAACCAGCCTGGAATGGATCCGCCACGCGCAGCAGGAGGAGGAGGAGGAGGAGGAGGAGGAGGAGGAGGAGGAGGAGGAGGAGGAGGAGGAGGAGGAGGAGGAGGAGGAGAGGCCGCGCGCGCGGGGCCTGGCGGGCCCGGCCAGTGCAGGGGCCCGGCGCGGGAGCGCCAGCGCGCGGGCGACGGGCACGCGCGGGCCCCCCCCCCCCTGGCAGGGAGAGCTGGCGCGGCGGCCCTGCGCGCGGGGGCGCCCCGCGCGGCCGATGGGCCCGGCACGCCGCCTATAGGCAGCGCGGGAGCGCCTGCGCGGTGGCCCTGCGCGGGGAGCTCGCGCGCGAGGGGCTCGGCGCAGCCGAAGCGCCGCTCGCCCCCGTCGCTCGTGCGGCCGCACGTGCTGCCGGCTCCCGCCCGGGCCAGCCACGTCACGTCCAGTCGGCCCGCACCACACGGGCGCGCGAGAAGGATGCCAGGGTCTTGGGCGCCCATCTCGAAGCTTTTCGAGCGGGGTGCGGCCAACGAAGGTGGCCAAGGACGGGCCGAGGAGGCAAGGATGCAAGGAGGACCTTGGGAAACTTGCTCATCCATAACCATCGGTCAGAAGAAGTGGGTAGAAACATGTAGTAGGAAGGCGTTGGAAATATATTGGGTTCCGCCAGCCCCCTAGGGAGGACGGAAAGGGGAAGCCACTCGATCATTGAAGTAGGAAGGCGCTTGAAGTAGATTGGAATCCGGGAATCCAAAAATACCTACTTTCAACGACCGGTGAGTAACCCTGGGAGGACTGCTCATCCTCACCATGCGAATTGACCGTGCACGCATGGCGAGCTCCGTCCCCGCCCGTGTCGATCAGGACCCCGTCTGTCTGTCCACGCGGTGCGCCGCCTGCGGCCTCTGACTCGGATCGCCGAGGAGGGGGGCCGCGGAAAGGGGGGGAGCTGGCGCACCGTGGCCCGACGCACGTGCTGCGCGGACGAGTGGGGGGCCATGGGACCAGCCGAACCTAACACTCACTACTGGAGACGTACCCAAGCCCTTCTCCACGCGAGGAGAAGGAGGAGGAGAAGGAGGAGGAGGAGGAGGAGGAGGAGGAGGAGGAGGAGAAAGAGGAGGCGCGATAAGGAGGAGGAGGGGGGAAGAGGATGCGGGAGGTTCGCGCAATCAACCCTTCAAAAAGAGAGCCCAACCTAGGAGGGTCGGGAGTAATTGGCCGAGACGTGCCCAAACCCCTCTCCACGCGAGACGGCTATCCGTACAAACGCTCCATACAAAAGAACACATCGCGAGCTATGCACGATCTGCGCTGCCCTGCACTCCGCCGTGCCTCCCAGGAGCCCACGGAGGTAGCGACAATTGCGCTGTTCGCAGCCTCCCCACGGAACCGCGCTAGTCTAGGTCCGCATAGGGCCCCACTCCGCTGGACCTCCCATGAGCCAACGTAAGTGGCGACAATTGCGCAAGTGGCAGCTCCCCAAAGGGCTCCGAGGTGTCGCCTGGATGTGCGCGGCCCTCCACTCCGCTGGACCTCCTGGGAGCCCACGAAACCGGCGACAATTGCGCCATTGCCAGCCCCCCCAGGGAGCCGCGAGACCTCTGCTGGGGATGCAAACAACTCCGCTCCGCTGGACTTCACAGGAGTCCACGAACGCGGCGACGGTTTGCGCTGTTCGAAGCCCCCCCCACGGAGCCGCGCTAGTCTAGGACCGCATAAGACCCCCCACACTCCGCTGCACCTCCCAACAACCCACAAACGTGGCGACAATTGTGCAATTCGCAGACCGCCAAGGCGCCGCGAGATCTCGGCGAGGTGTGCTTGACACCCACGTCTGCTGGACCTCCTAGGAGCCCACGAAAGTGGCGACCCTTGCGCGATTGCCAGGCCCTCCAGGAGCCGCGAGTTCTCGGTGAGACGCGTGTGACACCCCACTCCGCCCTGCCTCCCAAGAGCCCACAAAAGCGGCGACAATTGCACAATTGCCAGCCCCCCAAGGCGCCGCGAGGTCTCGGCGAGGTGCGTGACACCCACTCCGCCTTGCCTCCCAGGAGCCCACGAACGCGGCGACATTTGTGCGGTTGCCAGCCCCGCGAGGTCTCGGCGAGGTGCGCATGGCACCCCACTCCGCTGGACCTCCCAGGGGCTCACGAACTCGGCGACAGTTGCGCAGTTCGCAGCCCCGCAAGGTGACGCGAGGAAGAGGAGGAGGAGGAGGAGGCGGAGGAGGAGGAGGAGGATCGCACGCCACTACGGGCGAGAGAAGAGGGAGAGGTCCGATTCGGTTCAGCGGAAGGAGGAAGAAGAGGAGGACGAGGAGGAGAGGAGAGGAGAGGAGGAGAGGAGAGGAGAGGAAGAGGAGGAAGATAAGTAACATGTAGGGAGAGGAAAAAGAGAAGAGGGACGGGGAAGAGCGGGAATAATACAGGGATGAGTCATCTCCTGCCGTAATTCCGACGCGAAGAAATCTGCGAGGATAAGGAGAACCCCCTTCCAGAGCTCCAAAGCGAGACGCACCAAAGCGCCTCGTTCTCGTCGAAACGCAACTGCTCGCACAACAGCCGCCGCGCGGAGTGGAAGTGGCTCTCATCAGGCCGACCAGCTATGCCTGTGTCGCCCCGGCCGTATTGATGCGAGGAGGGACGAGGGGAGGAAGAGAGGGGGAGGAAGGCAGTGGGGGGAGGGATGAAGGTAGGGAGGGAGGGGAGAAGGGAGGGAGGGAGCAGAGAAGGAGTAGGGGATGGGAGGACGGAAGAGAGGCGAGGAACCATCTCCGGTACGTTCACGCTTGGTACAGCCACCCTGCTCTCACTTTGGGACACCATTCTTAAACACATTTGTTCCACAGAACCATACGTACAACACCAGTTTTGAGCACGGCCAATCACGGCCATTCCCTTTCAAAGTGTTTGCAGCCACGTGTGGTACAAACACATTTCGTACTGCCACCCTGCACTAAAGAATGTACAATTGCATTTTGGCACACGCATCCACAATAAACTCGTTACAGCATGTGGCTACGGGGCTCCAGCGCAGAACATTGCTGCGCAGTCTAAGTGTACCAAGGATGATTGCCCCAACCACTGTGTGACTTGAAACAAACGTAACATTCCCACGAGTCCCAAGTAAGATCGCCGAATCTGGCTTCAGTGTATTGTGCCGCCAGCTAGCAACCACATTGAGAGAGCCACCTACGTTCGTACCAATACCTCCTAAACTAACTTGATATGGTCGTGCCAAGATCTGCCCACACTGGGTGGATGGAGCCCGTGCAAGTAGTGACCAAATCAGAAGTGAGTGCAATGCGCTAATGAGGACGTGTGATTCTGCCACAAGTAGCACGGTATCTGCACCACATGGTGTGCCGACTATGCTTCTACCAAGCGTGAGTGACATTGTTATCCAATGGTGTTGACGGCTCATGTGCGACGAGTGTAAGATGGCGCCCGAAGTTAATGTGCCAATCAAATGATTGAACGAACGGTTCCCGATTCCCTCTTGTGTTCCCTTCGCGAGCCTTCAGTATCTCCCGGGTCCCTACTGTCTTCCCACTGGGATCCTCGCTGGAGTAATGTTGCTCGACCTAAACTCTACAGCTCCCCCTCCTGTGGGGGTAGCAAACAATAGAAAAGGAATAATCAGGGAGAAACAAAAGGAGGGGAGAGGGAGGCGGGAGGACCGGATGAAACAGGCATGAATAGGGCGGGTAAAAAAGAGAGACAGGACAGCGAATAATGATGCTGATGCCGCTGCTGATGGCGAGGAATCTGTTGCTGCTAATGATGATGCTTACGACGAGGAGGAGGATGTGAGTGGGATAAGTAAGAAAGGCGGCGAGCTGGAGAGCTGGACATGCACTGCGGTGGTCGGGGAGGACAGGAGGGGAGGCCAGCAAAGGGTCACGGTTGGGGACTGGCTGTAATGAGGTGACGGACTCCACGCTCCCTGGGGCGGTGTCAAAAACCACGGGCCATCTCCAATCGCCCAATGGAAAGATAGAAGAGGGAAAAGCTATATACACATAAACTTTTGGCGCTCCGCGCGGACTCCAGGCGCGGATCCAAGAAACTCCGCGCGGAGTTTTCTCTTCTCCCAGAAGAGGAGGAGGGGGGGCGGCAGGAGCAGGCGGTACCGACGAAGGAAGAAGACGTGGAGCGCCACTTTCTGTTGCTCTCAGAATGACGCCCGTCCCTGGTCAGACGGCGAGCACCGTTTTTTTGGCTACTCGCAAGAGGACGCCTGTTCTCCGGGGCCCTCTTCTCGCCCCGCCCAGTCTTGGTTCATCGCCCCATACCCGCGCTGGCGCCGTGTGGATATCAGCCACTCCTAAGCTTAGGTCGGGCGTGTCCCTCTACAGGGGGATTTTGGACGAAAAATAAACCGTACCCCCAAAATACTCCCAAATAGTCAACAACAGAATAGAAGAATCGTCCCCAGACTATTCTTTGACTATTTTGAACATCCCCCCCTGTAGAGGGACAGGCCCGACGTAATCCTAAGCATCATTCCCAAACGATGCCGGCGCAAACTGCGACGATACACCGGCTCCCTCCACCCCCCCAGTCACGCCCGAGGTCGCCAGGAGGCACCTCCCTCCATGCCCTCAACGGCGCCGCGTCCTGATGGGGGGTGAGAGGTGAGAGTGGAGGCGCGGCCCTCGGGGGCGAGAAGAGAGGGTACAGCCGCCCCGGACGAGCCAGTTAGACCGGCAACACGCATGCAATCTTGAACCCCCGCTTTCAAATCCCCCCTTTCTCGCCCCACCCGAGATTGGCACGAGTGCATCGGGACGGACGGGAGAGGTCTGAAGTTGGCACGCCCTTGGGAGCCCAGGCTCTTCCCGCATGGCGCCCCGCAACCTCCTCCTGCTCGAGGGGGGATGGGGGTGGGAGGGAGAGGGATGAGGATGCGGAAGAAGGAGAGGACGAGAGGACGAGACAGGAGACGACGACCATGATATCGATGACGGCCGACGACGATGACGACGAAAACACACGGCGACGACGGCTGACGACCATGATGGCGGCCGACCGACGCCGCCGACGACGTAGCGGCGGCTGACTGGCCGACCAGAGGTCGCCGACCGACGACGACACAGACCCCGGATGTCTTGATTTTTCAGTCTGGGGTCCCCAGAGCTTCCGACCTCTCCTGGGGGACCGTTCTTGCAGTCCCCCATCGTTCTTTGACGGTCCCGGGGCTCGGCGAGGTTTTCCCGCAGGCCGAGCCCTGCGCTCGAAAACCCCGAACTGCTTCCTTCTATGCGTTCGAGGCCTGCAAGGGACGACGGCCACGCCGCAGCGGGCGAAGAACGGTACGAAACAGCCTTTTCCGCCGGCGGGGCGGGGACGCCTGTCCCCTGGGCGGCTGGAGAGTTTAGTTTATACTTAGGTCGGGCATGTCCTCCTACGGGCGGGTTTTGGGAGAGAAGTGCAGCAGGGTCACAAAATCATCCAAAAATTAGCCTGGCGAAGGACCCAACCATATGCAGTTGTGAGTAATGCTGGTGTGAGTACCGTCTTCGGTGGAGCTCCCTATGGGGCCACGAACCGTTTGAGGGGTGTGCCGAAATGGGTGTGGGGGCGGCATGCGAACGTTGCCACTGGGGCCTTCGGTGGAGCTCCTTATGGGGCCACGAAACGTGTGAGGGGTGCACCGAAGTTAGTGTGGGGGCGGCATGCGAACGCAGCCACTGGGGCCTTCGGTGGAGCTCCCTGTGGGGCCACGAAACGTGTGAGGGGTGTGCCGAAATTGGTGTGGGGGCGGCATGCGAACGCAGCCACTGGGGCCTTCGGTGGAGCTCCCTATGGTGCCACGAAACGTGTGAGGGGTGTGCCGAAATGGGTGTGGGGAGGCATGCGAACCAGCCACTGGGGCCTTCGGTGGAGCTCCCTATGGGGCCACGAAACGTGTGAGGGGTGTGCCGAAATGGGTGGTGGGGAGGCATGCGAACCCTGCCACTGGGGCCTTCGGTGGAGCTCCCTATGGGGCCACGAAACGTGTGAGGGGTGTGCCGAAATGGGTGGTGGGGAGGCATGCGAACCCAGCCACTGGGGCCTTCGGTGGAGCTCCCTATGGGGCCACGAAACGTGTGAGGGGTGTGCCGAAATGGGTGGTGGGGAGGCATGCGAACCCTGCCACTGGGGCCTTCGGTGGAGCTCCCTATGGGGCCACGAAACGTGTGAAATGGGTGGTGGGGGCATGTGGGGCCACGAAACGTGTGAGGGGTGTGCCGAATGGGTGGTGGGGAGGCATGCGAACCAGCCACTGGGGCCTTCGGTGGAGCTCCCTATGGGGCCACGAAACGTGTGAGGGGTGTGCCGAAATGGGTGGTGGGGAGGCATGCGAACGCCAGCCACTGGGGCCTTCGGTGCTCCCTATGGGGCCACGAAACGTGTGAGGGGTGTGCCCCGAAAACTGGGGCCTTCGGTGGAGCTCCCTATGGGGCCACGAAACGTGTGAGGGGTGTGCCATGGGGTGGGGAGGCATGCGAACCCTGCCACTGGGGCCTTCGGTGGAGCTCCCTATGGGGCCACCCGTGTGAGGGGTATGGGGCCACGACCCTGCCACTGGGGCCTTCGGTGGAGCTCCCTATGGGGCCACGTGAGGGGTGTGCCGAAATGGGTGGTGGGGAGGCATGCGAACCCTGCCACTGGGGCCTTCGGTGGAGCTCCCTATGGGGCCACGAAACGTGTGAGGGGTGTGCCGAAATGGGTGGTGGGGAGGCATGCGAACCCAGCCACTGGGGCCTTCGGTGGAGCTCCCTATGGGGCCACGAAACGTGTGAGGGGTGTGCCGAAATGGGTGGTGGGGAGGCATGCGAACCCTGCCACTGGGGCCTTCGGTGGAGCTCCCTATGGGGCCACGAAACGTGTGAGGGGTGTGCCGAAATCGATGATGATGATGATGATGATGATGATGATGATGATGATGATGATGATGATGATGATGATGATGATGATGATGATGATGATGATGATGATGATGATGATGATGATGATGATGATGGGAGGAGGGAGGGGGGGGGAGGAGGTGGAGGTGAGGAACGCGGGGCGCCGTCTCTTCAAAACGAGGACCCAACACCACAGGATGGTTGGGAATAATAAAAAAATCGTCCCCGGACTATGTTTTACTACTCTTGAGTATTCCGCCTGTCGAGGGACAGGCCCGACTTAGAAAACATATTCATCTTGTGATGATAGTTCTGTGTTCTTAATTCTTATTGATTAAATTATAGATCATCTCCAGGAAGATAGGTATCTTCTAATGAATTTATTCCCCTCTCTATGTCTCTACAAAATCCAAGGGGGTGGGACCCCCCCCTGGGCCGGACCTTCCGGAATCCCTGGCTTCTGGGGCTCCTGGGCGGCCCTGCCGAGGGTCCCATTAGACCTCCGGGCTTTTGGGAGTCCCTGCCAAGTCGTGCAAACGAGCCGGCGGTAGCCCCAAGAGGGTCCAACATGGCCTCCTGATGGACCAAGAGACCTTCCAAACGCCCAAGAGAGGTCAAAGAGGAACCCCCAAGTGGGCCTCCAAATCCCAAACCTGTGCGTTTCCGATAGGTTTTTGCATTATTTTGGCATTATCGTTTTTTCGTGCTACCGACGCCCCAGGAAGGCCCAAAAGGCCCCCAACATCGCCCCAGGACAACCCATGCATGACGGCCCGAGAAGGCTCCAAGACGGGCGAAGATGCCCCCACGATCCCCGAAGACGGCCCCAAGACGGACCTTCAGACCGCCACCAGGCGCGAGCCCCCCGGCCCTACCACGAAACTGCCAACAGGCGCCCAAACGCCCCAACCACGGTTCACGAGGTCCTCAACAAGACCGAACATCAACCAAAGGGGGCTCCAAATTATTTTCCCAACCAGCAACTTCGTTTCCGCGACGACCCCGAGACGCCTCCCCACAGACCAGACCCAAACACATCGAAGAGGCCTTTGACGTACGACCCCGCATTGGCGCCCTCGTCCAGCATTTCCACCAAATATGTCCGAATCCCAGTTTCGCGACGTTCCCTCCAGGCACGTGGGTAGGAGGAGGAGGAGGAGGAGGCGGACGAGGACGAGGAGGAGGAGGATGAGGGAGTAGGAGGATCGGGCAGTGCCAAGGGGGATCACCACTAAGGGCGGTCTCTACTTCCTTAGTGGACCGCAGAACACAGAAGGGGAAGAGGACATATTAGAGAAGGATAACGAATGGCATTATTATGAGGACGATGTCGGACAAGACGACGAGGAAATATCGCCATTTTGTATGCTTTACCTTCCTGCCCTTCCGCCGCGACTTCCGCCTGCATGCCAAACTTCAAAAACCAAGGTGCGTGGCGCGAAGCGCCAACGCAGTCTTGTATATATTATCATTTAAGATTGTGATTATGATTATGATTATTATTACTACTATTATTATTATCATTATCATCATTATTATTATGATTAGTACTTTTATTACACTTGTTATTACGATTATTATGATTATTATTATCATCCTCCTCATCATCCATCCTCCTCCTCCTCCTCATCCTCATCATTACTATTATTATTATTATTACTATTCGTATTAGTATTGGTAGTATTAGTATTCGTATGATTACTACGGCTATTATTACTATTATTACTATTATTATTAGTATTATCCTGATTATTACTACTACTACTACTACTACTACTACTACTACTACTACTACTACTACTACTACTACTACTACTACTACTACTACTACTATCTTATATTAGTTTAGATTACATTCTATTATATGTATATTATATATACATATTGCAAATCCTCGAGGTTGCGGACGTTCTGATTTTTGGTTCTCCTTCGCCCCCGAAACGACGCCGACGACGGCCGACGAGCCCCGCGGTGCCTGGGAGCCGCGCGCCCGCGTCGGCCTCGCGGCCGCCGGGCCGGAGCCTGCGCGCCTGCACCAGCGTGGCGCCGGCGGCGGGCCTCGCAGGCGACCGTGTGTCGTCATCAGCATCATCATCAGTGTCAGTATCAGCATCATCACCAGCCTTCTTAACACCATTATCACGGCCATCATCATCATCATCATCATCATCATCATCAGCATCATCATCATCAGCATCAGCATCAGCATCATCATCGTCATCGTCATCACCACCACCACCCTCATCGTACCCAACTCCCCTAAGGACCTCTGACTCACCTAAAGCCCCCTGGAGACCCTTCGGACCCCTGGGAGAGGGGAGACCCCTTCCCCCCCCCGACGCGCGGGACATCTTTTTGCTGCGGCCAAGCGTGGGGAAGCGCCGCCGAACGGCCACCCGAGGCCCGCCACGCGCGCGTGGCCGCGCGCTCTGGAGCGGCGGCGCGCGGGCGCTCTGCCCCCTTTGTCCCTGTCAGCCCAACATGCCCAGCCCTACCCTACCCAAAGCCGGGGCAGGCTAGAGCGTTTCGACACTGGGCAGAATGGGGGGGCCTGGGTGTTAGAAGTACCCCTGGCCCAAGGTACCCCCAGGATTTCTCGGGATGACCCAGACGGCCTCCGGGGCACCCCTCACGAGGCCCAGAGGGCCCCAGGGGCTCAAAAGTGGTGCGACAGGCTGGGGGCACCTTGGGCCAGGGGTACTTCCAGCAACACCAGAGGGGGAGAGGGGGGGGATCTGGCTCTGGACCCCTGCTTAGTGCGACTGTTTGCAGCAATGCGCCCATCATGGGGGAGGCTCCACCTGCTCGAAACGGGCGCCAAAAAACAGCTTAGATCTACTCCACGGGGGGGGGGCGGGGAGGGGGGGTAAAAGGGCCCGCGCCGATCGGCAAAACAACGAATAAGAAAAACGTTCAACAGGGAGAAGGGTCTTACGGCCCTCCTCCAGCGGGACAGTGCCGACGGGTTTTTTGTTGCGGCGCGCACAGGGAAGGGGATCTAGAAGCTTCCCCCCTCCCGCTGCCCCCCTCTGGGCATGGCCGACAAAAAAAAGGCCCCGTGTCGAGGGCCTGTGGCGGTAACGTGGTCGGGCCCCGCGGGGGGGGGTGCCCGGGCGCCGGACGTCGACGACGACGATAACGAGGACGAGGGCGAGAACGGGGGCGAGGACGGGGATGGCGACACGGACGACGCCGAGGACGAGGACGAGGACGATGAGGACGAGGACGACGAGGACAAGGACGGCGACGAGGACGATGATGACGACGACGAAGACGGCCGCCTCCGAAAGTCTCTGGAGGTCTCTGGAGACCTGAGGTGGTCGCCCGAAACCACTGGAGGCGTCTGGGGTGCCTTCGGGGCCCTCGGCGACGACGACGACGACGATGAAGACGACGATGAGAACGAGGACGACGACAGGGTCGAGACGAGGACGGGGACGAGGACGACGATGACGAGGACGACGATAACGATAACGATAACGACGACGACGGGGGCGACGAGGACGAGAACGACGGGTACGAGGACGGGGACGGGGACGACGATGCCGACGACCAGTAAAATGACGACAACGACAACGTCGACGACGGCACCCACGACGACGACAACATCGACGACGACAACGACGACAAGGACGAGGACGAGGACGGGGACGATGATGACGACGACGATGACGACTACGATAACGACGACGACGATAACGACGACGAGGACGAGAGCAAAGACGACGACAACGACAAGGACAAGGACGACGACAACGACGACGACAAGGACGAGGAGGGGGACGACGACGACGACCACGAGGACGAGAGAAGGGCGACGACGAAGAGGACGAAAACGATAAACGACGACGACGACGGCGACGATGACAAAGACGACTCCAGCGCCGACGACAGCCGCCTCTGAGGGGCTCCAGGGGCCTCATGAGGTTTCTGGAAGCCCCGAAGGGCGTCTGGAGGCTCTTCGATGCCCCCGGAAACGTCGACGATGAGAACGAGGGCGATGACGACGACGAGGACGAAGACGAGGAAGACGATGACGACGACAGCCGCCTCTGAAGGTCTGCAACGGTCTCTGGAGGTCTCAGGAGATCTCCGGAGGCCTCTGGAAGCGTCAGCAGGCCCTGCGAAACCCTCGGAAGTCACGACAACAACGACGATAATGACGACGAGGACCACGACCACGAGGAGGACGAAGACGGGGACGAGGACAAAGGCGACGATGACGATGACGACGTCCACGACCACGACGACGACGGCAACAACGACGACGACGACGACGACGACATCGACGACGACAACGACCACAACGACAACGACGAGGACGGGGACGATGACGACGACAACGACAGCGACGATGACGACGACAACGGCGAGGACGAGAGCAAGGACGACGACAACAATGACGAGGACGAGGATGACGACAACGACCACGACGACGAGGACGACGAGGGGGACGACGACGACGACGACGACGAGAAGCCGCGGAGGAGGATGGAGGGCCGAGTTGTGGAGGTACCGACGGAAACGGGACCTCAGGGTACGAAGCCCAGGGTGCCTCGGGCCCAAGCATCCCCCCGCGCTGCCGTTCCCAGGCGCCACTCGCTGGGCCAGCGAGGCCCCGCAAGACTTGCCAAAAAACAAACATGGGTGTTCGGGGCCCTCCACGTCGCATTTCACCACCGAATGCCCTTGAAACGGCCACGGCTTCCCAAACATCACCCCCGCCTCCACGCCCCCCACATCGATCGGCTCGGGCTCGGGCTCGGGCGGCGGCGGGGCAGGGGCGGCAAGCCTCCAGTCAAACCTCTCGCGGTTTCGGAGGGTTTCCTCGAGGGTCGCGGCGTCGCGATCGTCGGTGTCATATTCGAAGTCAAGGACAACATCCGAAGTGCCTACCACACCCTCAGTGTCTCAGGCCTCGTGGTCTCCTAGCCACGAGTGCACATGTCCTATTCATCTAACCAGTTTGACAGCAATATCTTCACAGGCTTCCGTGAAGAGGACCTTCCGGGGGGACCTTCCAGAGCAGGACCCCCTTTTTGGCCCATCGGTCCGCGAGACTGTTGCCAAGCCTGCACCACGCATCGAAAAAAGAGACATCTTGTGACATCGAAGAATGGGCCTTCACTTTTCTCGCGCTCGCACTGCGACCGTGCTTCAGCCACCAGCTCTCCCAACAATGTTTGCTGGGACTCATGAGGCCCAGCGCTTTCGAGGCGTTCCTGGCACAGCCTATGGACCCAACGCAACCCGAGAAGACTGTCAGGGACCCGTCGCTTGCAAGGCCGACTGAGAAACGCGACAACATGTGGAGCGCATGATCTTCCGCGTCCCTCGAGGACTGCGCCAAAGACCTTGCCAAGGGGACAGCACCATACATTCCACATCTGAACGAGCCATCGTCGTTACAGCTGATGATAGCCCATCCTGCGAGACGCAGGCCGCCATGCTGGGTAAAAATTGAGAAGCCGCCCGCCAACACCTCTCCCTCGAAGAGCCATCCCGGCATGCGCCCAACGAAGCGGATATGATCCTCCTCGGGGATATCTCGATCCTGAAAGTCATGCGACGGCGAGGGCAGGAGGCCCCTGGCAAAGTATTCACCGCGCTCCTCGCCCTCTCTGAGGGCAATCCGAGCCGCCTTGAGCAGCTCGGGCGGACAAAACCCTCTCCTGAGAAATTCCGTGCTAGGGCAATCGAAACAACGGTGCCAGAGGGTCCCACGGGCCCCGCATTTCACGCAAAACGGGTGGGTGGCTCTCCCTTTCGCGTGAAGCCTGCTCTGGCTCCAGTGGGCCCCGCAGTTGACAGACCTGAAGACGTTGACGTGCCTCTTGATCCACGGCTCTGAGTCTCTAGCCAGCGCCGAAACCACGGGCCCCCGGTGGAGCTCCGAAACCCAAGGACTCCCAAGCCTTCTCAGAGTTGTGGCATCAGAGGCGGCACAGGCAGAGGCAAGGACCGCCTGGCAGACAGCGCCAGGCGAAGAAAAGTCGAGGTCGATCTCGCGCTGGCGATGATCGAGCAACAGGCTGTGCCGAGCTAGTTGGCAGCCAGCTCCGGCGAGGCTAAGCGCAGCGGCCTGGCCTGGGTCAGTGCACATGTTCCACGGCTTGTCGACGTCCAGCAGCTGCGCGGCGTCAGCGTGAACCACTCTAACAACTTCTTGCTGGATGGGGCCCGTCTCGAACTTGGATGGACCACGCCTTGGCCACCTCAACATCATTGTCCACGAACGGGTCCCTGACCACTGCCCGCGGCATGGTGCGCACCCTGAAGGCCAGGTAGGTGCCAGGGGCCAGCCTGCCCTCGGCTCTGCGTGCGTGCACCCTGAGCTCGTTCAGCTTGCCGTCCGCGATGCTAGTGACCGCCGAGCCCCAACACGCCGCGGCGCTCGGTGCGCCACGGAAGATGTGGCACGTCTTGGCCACGCGGCTTGCAGCAGCTCGATCCTGCCTGCTGCTCTCTTGGCTCGGGCGAGCCTCTTGTCCTGCTCTGGCGCTCGCCTCCTGCTGCCGTCGCTGCCGTCGCCGCCAATGCATCTCGTGCCAGAGGCTCTGGCCAGGCCAAGGTCAGACCAGTGGCGGTCCAGCTCCTGAGCCAGCTCCGCACATGTGGCCATCCACCCCGTCTTGCCCCAGTTGATCCTGAGGCGCCTCTGCCTGGGCCCCTCGAAGAGGTCGTGAGCAGCTTGGGGCAGCTAGCGTCCCACCAGGCGAGCCGTGCCGATGCCTGGGGGAGGCTGTCGTCCACCGGGCTCTGGGCCCGCGCCAGCGGGCACCTGCTGACGACGCCGCGCAGCAGGGTGTAGGTCAGCAGCTTGGCGGCTCCAACCGCGCGCGAGCAGCCCGCTGCCGTGGCGCCGTTGGCCTCGATGGCGGGCCCGACCCCCTTGCCAAGCATCGCCCTACGCGGGGGGCGGTAGCTTGAGCAGAGGGCCCTGAACAGCACCATGGGGAACTCCGTCACGACCGCCCGGTCGTAGAGCTCGTCGTGGCTGATCATCTCGCAGCACTTCGTGAGTTCGATCGCCAGGGTGCTGGACGCCATGCCTGTCT